CAGCTGGGGCAGGACAGGGCAGCACCTGCTACCATAGCACCCAACACTGACCTGCTGTGGCCGACCCTCCTCATGCTAAGCTGGGGAGACCGGTCAGTGAACCGAGAGGGCCAGAGCACTGAAGGCAATGCGGAGGAAACTTCCTTGCAGAGGCATGGCCAGCCAAGAAATCAGCTTGCCAAAACAGAGGTGGGAACTGTCTCTGCCCAGGGTGGCTGTCGAAGGTGTAAAATGCCTATGAGGAAGTGGTGAAGCAGTAGTAGCCCCCAATGGCTCTATTTAAAAACCTAAAAGCTCCCAGCAGCAAGACTAGATCTTTACTCAGATTACACACTTGAGAGAGATGCATAAGCTGTTCATAGAAAATCAAGAGAACGAACTCTGCCTTAATAAAAAGCTTAATTCAGTCATTTTGTCCCCTCTAAGGTACTACATCTACTCATGCATCACAAATACATTGTTGCCTAACACGCTCTTTAAATCAGAACATTGTGGTTTTTGTCCCTTTGTAGGATGATTGCTTTTTCATTTTCTAATAGGTTCAAGAGACCAAGCATACTGGAATGAAGAAAAACTAATTATTTTTGTATTAGCTCCTGGTGTGTTTTTAACTACAAATAAGCCATTTAAGTCCTAAAATAAAATAATGAGAATTCAGTTGTTATGGTAAACTATTGACAAAATATAGCAGATGCAATAAAAGCGATGTTAAACGTGTGCCCCGAAATTTGCAGCAGGAGCAGATACATATTAAATATATGACTTGGTCTGTGAAACATTAATATGGCATCGCAAAAATAAATGGAACCATCTCATGTGTAACAGTCATGCGTGAGGCTTCAGAGGTCTTTTTTTGTACATAATGGCTACAGTCTTTCTTCTTTTTTTATTGTTTTTTTTTTGTCATGGAGTGCTACCTGTTCACAGCACAGATAAGCAAACAGGAAGGGAAAGCATGCTGGGCACTCCAGGTAGTCCAAAGCTCTTATCCAAAATGTCTAGATTTAGAGAGTCATTTTTAACATTCTTGGATCCTAACACATGCCTTTAGAAATGAAATCTAAACCTCACATAGTATCACTTCTATTTTCTTAATAAGTGAAAGGAAGCTAATATGCCTGCAGTAGTATTCACAAATAATTGCTTCACCTTCTGATCCACAGTCCTGAATTTCCACAGAGCTTAGAAACGTCACATTTCTATACTGTGTGCGTGTGTGCGTGTGTGTGTGTGTGTGTGTGTGTGTGTGCGTGCGTGCGTGTGTGTGTGTGTGTGTGTGTAAAAATTCTGGTCTACGGGGGCTCAATGCCAGTGAAATGTGTATCTAGTCTTTCCTGGATATATATTCAAGTCCTGTTAAGAAAAGTATCCAACACCTTGATGTTGCTGGCAGCTTCTGTTCTTATTTTCACTTCCTTGCAGTCTACTGTCACAGTAGTCACTGGTTCCCATGCCAGAAATATATATGGGAAAATGTGAATATAAAGCACAAAGAACATTAATAGCTCTCCGTGAAGACATAAACAGATGCATATACACAACATACTTCAAACACAGCTTATAAACTTGGCTACGAGGAATATAGCAGGAAAACTAAAAGGTCTATTGCAAATGACTATGGACCTGATTCTCAACTGACAGGGGATCATCCTTGAAAGAAATCATCCTCTGGAACCCAGCACCAGGTGCATCACTCCAGCTGCAAACAGCAGCCTCTACAGCTGCCTCATCTACCACACCTCCGAGCATCTCACCAAAGCAAGGTGCCAAGAAGCTACAGTACCTGATGGCACTTTCAGGCATTTTCAGGCAGGACAGCAGGACACTTATCACAGACACCTAGCACCAAGGTGTCTTTGCAGCCTTCCTTCTTCCACACCTCCTTTATCACAGTGCTAACCCTGTCTGAGGGCAGGGGCTGCGGGCACCTGGAGAAGCCCTGCGTTATGTGGGATGTGTTGACTGTAACTAAGAATTCTCCACTGCTTAAAGACAGCAGATTGTGGACTCTCTGCACTAATTAAGCAGCACAAATGAGCAGCACTGCTGTTTGGAACACAGGCTGCAGCCCCATCTTAGTACAAAATAATCAGAAAAATGCTGTGTTTTCACTTTCCAAAACACTATTCTTTAGCCAGAAATATCTGCTTTTAATTTTGTGCATGCAAAACCACATTAGCTGAGTGTTATTATGTAAAATCATAAAACTGTAATCTACACCTACACATTTTATAGGCAGTGATATCTTTCCTAACAACATAAGGAATATTGGTTTAATTTATATGCAAAAGGAGGACTGAGGTATAGAGAACAAAGTGCAATAAGAGGTGTTGGGAATACAAGATCTGAAGCAGATATCTATTTAGAGCAATTCAAAGATGCACAAAAAATAAAATCTCTATTACTGAAACAGATGTTTCTGATACAGGAAAGCAAAAGTAAGAAAATCTCAACATCTGGAAATTTAAGTGGTAGGAAAAACTGGAGGATTAAATTAAAGATAACAGGTCTGAACTACCAGAAGGGCATCTGTGGGGTAAAGCAACTGTCGATGAATTAGCTGGAAAAAGTAATTTTTAAGAAGATGAGCCATTAAGAAGAATTTAGGCTTGCAGTTTGTTGAACTGAATGAACATATGTGAGAATTTAAAACTTAAAATTAAATATCCAAGTCTTCTTGGACATTATGTGAATAATTCCCCTGTGACAAAATTATAAAAAGCAGTGGAACCCAGACAGTAGAAGCTGTCATGTTTGGAAAATTTGACATGATTCATCATTCGTGCCTGAAAGCCATTCCTAAGACAAGTACTGTGACAAATAGGCAGTTAAGGGGTAGAATATATTACTCTACTGTTGCATACGATTATATTTCATATTTCTACTCCACCACAAGACCACGAAGAACTGTGACGTAGCTGTTCTAGGAGAGTGTTTTTTCAACTCAGATGACCATCCTAGATGCTAGGCATCTCATGTAATTCAGATGAAATAGAAGAGTTTTATATAGGATGCTGGGAAAATTATTTTAAATAATATTTTTAAGAAGTCATCAGAATTTTTTACTAGTCACTTGAAACATCCAGTTGTATCCATTTGTTATGTTTAGCTTAAAAGACGAGGTATCCAAATCCACAATATTTTAGTTACAAAACACAAGGATTATCAACTAGCTAAATGAGATACATGCTTTTAAGTTATCTCTCTCAACTCAAAACCTAGGCAATATTAGCATATTCAGTAATTTATTACCCTTTATTTCCTCCTGAGCTCTTAATACCTGTACAATGTTGCTGCCTGCAAAACTGGCTCGTCTCCATATCCGCCCTCTGACCAAAGCCTCGTTTAACAGGTGAGCTAGTTTCCGTTCCATTTCAGCCTGAAACACTTCCTCCTGAATTCGCTGGTCGATGACACCCAAGAGAACTACATCGTAAAGAAAGTAACCCAAGAACACAAATTAATTAGTCAAACTTTTCTTTTCAGTATCTTTTCAGCAATTTCAATTACAAGCTTCGAGTCATCCTGTGACAGCTCGTGGACAAGTCAAGAGCAGCTGTATTCATAGAATCATAGAATCATAGAATGGCATAGGCTGGAAGGGACCTTAGAGATCACCTAATCCAACATACTGCCCAGCACAGCTGGAGGTTACATGTTGGAAAAGGAAGACACTAGGTGGGAAAAGGTTAAAAGAAAGAAATTAAAATAAAATAAAAAAAAAGAAAATAAGGCAGAGGGCATTTTTGGAATTTCAACCAGGGTAGACAGAACCAGGATATTAAACAAACAAACTTATGAGTATTTGGTAAATTGCTTAAAAACAAATAAAAGAGAAATTTCAGTCTAAATCATCTGCTGCAGCTACTTTTATTCAAAATGCTGTGTTCGGAAATGATACAGAGCTGGAGATGGGTAGAGCAAGGCTTCAGAATCAAGGAGAAAATGTAGAACAGCAGCACATGGATGAAGCTGTGTATTTCAAGTGCATCTTCCCTGGATAAGATAAAGATTAACAAGTATGCCAATCAGCATAAAAAAACTGGTTAGTAGCTCTTCCCACTTCAGTTCCCAGCCCCAGGTATTCTGGGTCACGAGGGCAGCTAATGCTGAGAGGAATCCCTGAGGAAAAACACAGAGGAAACATGAAAAAAGTGTGGACCTTTACTAACAACATGTCATCCAGTACAAGAAAAGTGAACAGAGCAATAGTCATTCAAATGACCTAATTAAACAACCCTAAATGATAGTAAACCAACTTGCTGCTGACTGCAATAACATAATCCAGTTTTCATTCCTGCACCTCTCCACTAAAATAGTTTATATTTTTAAGTCCCTTTTTCAGTGTTTTCATGCTCATTTTTTAAGAGTGGTGATTAATAAAAAGCCATGCAATTAGAAAAAAATTTTTTAGAAATTTAAAAAATAGAAGTATTAAACCCACTTCTTCCATTTAAAAAACTTCACTGCAGATGTCACAAAAAAGAAACATTGTCATCACTTCTCAGAGAGATCAACAGCATCTGTCTTCTACATTCAATCACAGAATAAGTATCTCAGAACTAAATAGCAAAATAAATAGACAGTGGCCTAAGGCTATTATACACAGCAAGTGGAAAACCATTCTAGCTTGTGTATTGAATTTCAGTATCAATGAATTATGCTTAATGACATGAACTGTATTCTACAACTGAGAGGGTCAGCCACAGAGAACACTGCATATCCCAGCATTTCATGACTACTGGGATACATCCATACATATATAAAAGACTTTATGACCATAAATTCTATCATTTTCCCAAGTCATGACTCATTACCCTTACAATACAATATACAGACTGAAAGGGCAGACCCAGTCAAAGTCTACCAGCAAGAACTGGAATTAGAAAAATTCCTCTACAGTAAAAAAGATGCTGCAATTGGCTTTCAGAATTTTACAGTCAGGAAGTCTAGAAAAAACCGACAGGGACAGGATGACACTGGATGTGGGATACACACATGTAGCTTCCCTCATATTACTGAACATGATGTGAAATTATTTTTCTTCTCTAAAACAAATTGTGTGGGCTTCAGAAACTAGGTTGCAACTTGCTTTCCTGTTTAAATTAAACTGGGCTACTGGTGAGAGTAGGCAGAGATACTTGAATAAAAGCGTAAGCCTATGCAACTGGTGAACTACAGGTGGGAAACTTATGAGAAGACAGAAGTGTATCCTGTGTTGATAGGGCTAAGAAAACGTTGGACTTGATCTCGAAGGTCTCTTCCAGCCAAAATTGTTCTATGATTCTGCCATCTGCCTGGTCAGTCCAGGCTTTCTGCTTAAAAGAAGCAGGTAGGACCCACAGCATATAGGCAACTCTAACAGCCCTTAAGCATCTAAAAGTAACAGCTCAACTGTGTATCTGTGAATCGAAGGAAAAATAAAAACCCAGAAGACTTGGGTGGGAGGGATCTGCTGTGAATGAATCAGAAGAGATCAATGAAATGTGATGAAACTCATTCATGTACTTGGAATGTATCTATTTTCATTGTGTTTTATTCCTGACATGCTTTAGTAGAAAATGCTACATAAATAAAATTTTAATTTTCACTTAAAATAAAATTCAAACCAAAAAATCAATGTAGAATATTGACAGCATGCAGAGGAGACACTTGATGCCTGAGAGTTTAAGCCACCTCACTAAGAATTAACTGCTTTATAGACAAAAACTACTTGGTGTGCATTATCAGGGAATTGCAGTAGTTCATTCGAAACCCAAGGAATTACATTTCCCAGATATTCCAGGTCACTAGGCCTTTGGGTTTTAGAATTTATTCAGCTCAGGCCCATTACTACCTCATAAAAATGCAGCACCCCTAAGCTATCATTGTTTATGTAGGCTAGCTATCCTGCTAATGAAAATAATTGCTCTCTCGCCTCTTTACAGAGACTGTACGTACCTGTTCTCACCCAGGAAGATTTCATCAACTGAGACACATTAAGCTTAGGATAATGAAAGGCTGAAGGAAAAACAGAATGGAGGAAAAACATCCGTAAGAACAGTATTCTTAACAACATACACAAAAAAGAAGCCACTTCATAATTTATGCTGTCAGTAAGCATCGTATTTAAGCAGACATATATTACTACTCCTGAGGCTATGCAGACACAACGCTCAAGTGCTCTGAACATACACTCTCCAGTTTGTGTCTGAACAAGAAGCAGCTAACCAAAGCAGTCAGATTTATTACCTGAAAGATTTCAAGCTGTTGTACCGAGGTCATCACTCCTAGAAATTTAAAAGCTCACTGTCTGACTTGTGACTCTTACTGAGGTAGCTGCAGGATCAGACTTTTGCTCAAAGGGCAATGAGGCAACTCATGAGTGTCTCAGAATGAAGGTAAGACCTTCTCTGAGGCAGAAACACTACATGTAAAACAGAAAACTAAATATATCTGTGTTCCAGACTTGTACAAGGAAAAGCATTTAAAAACCACCACCTTGATTTTTTTTTTTTTTTTTAGAAAAATCACAAATAAATTCAGGTAGAGACATTGCTATAGACAAATCTCATGGCTATTGTGTTTGGCTTTGTGGCTCAAGGTTTTCTTAAATTCTCATTTTTTTCCAAAAAGGCTATGCTCCAGAGTGAAATCCTTGCTCCTGTAAAGTACAAGAAGTGTGTTTCTACTGAGTTCAGTAGGGATAAGATTTTTCCCAAGGTTTCCACTGGAGAGCAGTAAAGACATGTTGGGAAATAAGTGCAGATGGGGGCTGGGCCAATAGTTTCCTCAAGGGAAGTCTTAAGCTTCTCTATGGCAATAAGGAAAATGAATGGTCTTAACTTTCTCAAAATATTTAATCCAGATGCAGTTTGCTAAGCATTATACAAAGGTCAATTTTTAAATCGTTTCATGAGTAGAAAGAACGCAGCTCATAATTAAATGATCTGTTCCATGCTAGATCCATTTAAAGATGTCTTGTCTTCAGTTGTAGAAAAGTTTGCCACTATTGCACGTTTCAGAGAAACACGAAATTATTTCTAATTCAATTATGCAATCATTTGCAGAGTAGCTGACCTCTGTCGGTGTACCTTAAAACTTAACTTTTCTGCCTCCTAAAAAACTTAGGAATTTTTGGTTAAGGCAAAAGCAAAAAAATTGTTGGTTCTGTTGTATCTTTTACTTTCATAGATTTATAAATAGTCCTGTGGAAAAAAAAAATTGTTACTCCGCATTTATTTCAATAATAGCACCAGTAGCTCCAAGAGAATCACGTGGGAGGGTATCGGAATATGGACTTTTATTCTGAACAGGAAACATCAGCTGTCTATACGCTGACCAGGATGCATCTCCTTTCCAAAACTCTCAGACACAGAAAAAGCACCTCTCAGTCCATTGAAACAAACACATTTATTTTTGGCACTCTGCTACATGGTTCTTCCGATTGTAGCTTTTAGATTGCAGTTCTATTTGTTCTGGTCATGCAATTGTTTACTTCAATTTAGAAATAAAACATGAACAAAAAAGCATAGAGTAAGCTGCATCTGTTGTTTTTCCAAGGCATGGAAAGAGCAAGATAAGAAAATAAAAAACCTTCCAATGGCCATAAAACTTTGAACTGCTAGCAGTTGCGAGTTTTTTATTCTTTTAAACCAAAACCATATTTTGCTTCAATACTTAATGTGCTCTTCACACTTTTTCTAATTAGTACTTGAAAATGATTTAATTCATGCAAATTGCTGGATGACTATTCACTTAAAGTTGTCATGGAATTAATGAAATTTAAAAATAAAACAACTTGAGCAGAAAATCTTGAAACTGAAAAGAAAGACGTGCCGTGATCGTTGGCAACTAAGACTGAGTTCTAAAAACCTGATCAAGTATGAATGAAGTGATGGACAATTCTGCAATTGAGACCATGCTCAGAAGTCACAAAATCTGGGCTCCCATTCTTATTCCATAGGTCACTCGAACGTCTTGCAGCACACATGTGGCCAGATGCTGAGCTCAGCAGGAGTTTGAACACTGCAGCAAGATTGTATTTGCAAGATTCCCAACACACCCTGGAACTAATGATTAGAACCAGCACAAACTGATTGTTATTCTGAAGGGAAGCTGGATAGAGAAGATGCGATTATTAGTTAGATTGCAGCTGGCCTGCTAATGACTATACATGCATTAATGAAGTAGACTAGCATGATTAGAAGATTCTAACATGCAGCCCTGAAGCACCACACAGCATTAACAGCATTGATCCAATGGCAAAGGGACACCTAGTCAACCAAAAACCTCTTGACAGTAGACTGAAGCACACCACTTGGGCAGCCTGGCCTTTGCCAGATTCTCCAAAACGGATCTCTCCGCCCTCACGCGTGAGACCACATAGGGTAGAAATGGTACCATATTCATCCTTCTTATTTCTGATAAATGGAGGAACAGTAATAGGAAGCATGGAGGTAATGCAATATTTGGAATGAGAAGGCATCAACTGAAAAATAAGATTCCATGCAAATATTGGAGCGTGGGCAATAGTAACACACTGATATCTGTTAAAATCCGGTCCAAAATCCACCCAGAAAAAAAAATCCCAAATATTTCTGCAGTCTTTGGACTGCAACATACAATTTTATATTATCCTACTGGCTTTGCAACATCTCCCAAGATATCTAAAATAGATGCCACCCCATCAAAGTGCTACTTATGGCACCAAAAAAAAATAAGCAGGAGACTTATCTGGAGTAAGCTCCACATCTAGCCTTTGCCTGTCCTCAGAGA